AGATGGCTCTGAAGACCAGAGCGCCGCCCAGCGACCCCTGCAGGGCAGCACAGGGGCGCCGATCCAGCCACAGCACGCCGCCCGCCCTCGTGGGAAACCCTCCGTGCTGCACCCTGCGTGTCAGAACCGGGCCTTTCCTTCGTACCCGATGCTGCGAGGCCAACGCCACCTCTGTGGGGCGTCCAAAACCACAGCCACGTTACCCGTTTTTCTTTGAAAGTCAGGCCTGCAGCTTCTCAGTTTTCACACAGGAGAGAAACCTACGTGCTTATAAATTCTCAGACCAAGAAGCAGATTCGTCTAGAAAACCACGAAACCTCTGGCGCTGTGCACTCAGGCCAGTGTACAGACGGCACCAGAGCGACCCCCCCCCCCCCCCGTCTCTGAAGTGCCCTGCAGGGAGGGCCGCAGGTCAAGTGCCGAGGTGGGGAGACAACCAACGGCCAATCGCCTCCCATCAGCTGACTTTGAGCATCAGGTCAAAGGTGACACGCTAATGCCACATGCTCTACTCTTCCTTTCCCCCATCATGTCTACAGAGTGGCAGTAAATATGTCTTCTGTAGGAAGTGCCACTGCAGGGTGCCAGCCTGTGCCCTTAGCTGCCTATACCCGGATCACCTGCCCCCAGATCTCCACTCGCCCACCTGCCCTGTGTAACCAGCACCGGGACCACCCCCACTACTCACCTGCCTGCCATGGGGCCAGCCCTCCCACGCCTCCTCCTGAACGAGTGAGCAGGCCTCGCCGCGGCGCCCACCCAGGGCCGGCACCAGGACCAGAGGTCCTCGCACCACGTGAGGCCTTTGCACAGAGCTCAGCGCGCTCGGAACACGCCGTCTCCTGCTGGGTCCTTCTTGCCCCCTGAAGGCAGGTCTGGCACCCGGGAGCTCAGCGAGCCAGACGTTCGGAAGAACCCTTTCCACTGCCCAAGTTACTGGAACACTTAAAGCTGTTTAAAAACCCTACTGGTAACCCAATGGCTCCACACGCGCCGTGATTTTCCTTCTTTTCCTTTCCCCTAACAGACGACACCCACGGTTCTTACGTGACAAGAGGCTGATCCTGTCTGACTCCTCCGCGGCTCCTCCTCCCTGAAAACACCCCCCCTTCTCTGTGACTCTCCCCAGCGTCACAGCAAGCCAGACTCCAGTTAGACAGCCGCTGCCCGGGACACGGTGCCCACGTATGCTGGTCCTCACCTGCGGCCAGCGGCGCCCCTTGTCCCGCCCTGCAGAGGGGATAGCCCCGCGCAGGCCCTGCCTGGCTCCCACTGGCCGCCCGACGGGCTGCACAGAACGCCGAGGCAGACCCCCACTGCGGGATGCAGGACGGTCACCTCCCCGGACCACCAACCAGCGCTGGCCAGGTTGTGTGGGACGCCTCAGATTGGAGAGGAGGAGCGAGGGCGCAGTGCTGGCCTCGACCCAACAGGAAGTTTAATCTGCCTTTACCGACCCCCGGCCCAGTGCCAGCAGCAACGGCCCAAGCTAACCAGAGCAGTGAAGGAAGACGCCCCCACCGCACCGGCCGGGGAATGTCCCCACGTCCCGACCTGGCTGTTCAGGTTCTGCTGCCAGCTCGTCCCACGCCCGTAAAAACCACACATCACACGTAACTGAAAACAATGCAGACACCGTCCCCAAGGACGATGAACACCCGGTGCCAAAACCCACCCCCACCGTGTGACCCGGCCACCAACCTGCCTGGCAGTGCTGCGTCTCTGGGAGTTGGACAAAGCATTCACAGACACGGTTCAGGAGCAAAACACTCCAGGGGGACTCTGGCGACAAATACTGGGAGCCACCAATTCAAAACTGGAATACGCACTGTGTGAAAGTTCACCGGCGGCACACTGAGGGCTGGCGCGCTTTCCTGTAGGCACGCTCTACTTCCATTTTTAAAAGAACGAGGATTGTGTTGTAATGAAAACAAAAACTTACCACCTCGAACAAAAGGGAAAAAGTAAATTCTTTTTCTTGAAAAAAATGGAGGTTAGAGAGTTTTATCAGTTCAACTAAAAATAACTGCTTAAATCGACCCCAACACCTCAGATTCATGTCCCAAAGTGTCAACACGCCAACGTGCCCACCGACGTGGTCACGGGGGCCGCCTGGGGAGCGAAGGTGAGCGCCATCTCGTGTCGTCTGGGCAGGCCCCCCTCAGCCGCCAATGGCACGGGGCTCTCCACTCGCCGGTTTCACCCACGTGCGAATAACCATTTCGAAACGTAACAGGAACTCGCTCTCTGTGCGGCAGGAAGCAGACTGTGTTTGTGTCACTCTCTAGACAGGAGAGCCACGGCGTGGCTTTTCTCGAGCTTGCTCTGTGGTGGCAAGTGCCATCCCCGCGAATGCCATCACCCGTGCTGCCGGCGTGGCGTGTGCCCCCCACCCCTCGCATGACCCAGGAGCCCGGTGCCGCCCTCGCAGGCTGCTGTGTGTGTGCACGCCCGAAAGGCAGGCTGCATGCGCCTCACAGCTCTCCCAGCCGAAGTAGCTCAGCGTTTCCAGTGCCAGAATCTCACTCACCGGATGGAAAAAAGGCCCAGAGAAGTGGCTCCAAGGTCAAGCCGGTTAGTTGCTGACCTTCAAGTCACACTAGCCTAGGCTTCATTTTTATGGCGAACGTGGTTTTAACACTGACTTTTTCTTTTCTTGAACTAGAGGCAACCCAAGTTTTTCATTGCAAAGAAATGTTACATGCCCTGACACGAATCATTCACAAATTACACGCATGGGCCTGATTGCACAGTGGCCAGACTGCTAACCGTGTATGACATTTCCCTGCCCCGCTATCCACTCCCATCATGCTCTGCTTGGGGAAAATGCCTCCCCCCTTGCTACGTGAGGAATAATTCAGAAAACTGGACTTGTCCTCCCCGAAGGAGAGGGAGCACAACGAGGTGCGTGCAGAGAGCTCTGCCGACAGAGACCGCACCGACCCCCACGGCTGAAGCCGACGTTCCCGGCTCGCATCCTGGGACGTGGCCGCGCGCAGGCAGAGGAGCCTGTCACCCGTGCAGTGAGATACCTCAGGGAGCCTGGGTGTCTCACCAGAGCAAGTTCTGCCCCCGAAATCCCCAACGACCCCCACAGCTTGCGCCTTCAAGTGGCGTAAGTCACGGGGACCGGACACTGTCATGAGAGAATATCCAATGTGGCTCTGCTGGGGATGCCAGGACCCCCCAAGTCCCCCTAAAAATATACCTCCACCTTAGGCCCAGAAAAAACCTTGAATCCCTCTAAGAAAAGGCACGGTATGAAAGTCTGAGAAACGCCATCCTGGACATGTCTGTTCTCCTGCCAGCGCCAACGGATTTGACCACAACCGTGATGCGGAGATACAGCTGTTGTCCTGTTCCACAAACACGCACAGAAATGACGGGGAACGAAAATGCCACGATGCAACTGCTCTGAAGGTGCCCATTCACACGTGTCACAAGTCAAACCCCACTTTGCAAAATAAATCATAATCAATTGTAAAAGGTTACCCAAGCTGGTTATTTTTTAACAGGAAATTATGTTTCAATAAATACTTTTTCCTCCAAATGACAACTATAGTTTTAGGGAATAAAAGTATAACCTAGAGCCAGGAGCAGTGGCTTACACCTGTAATCCCAGCACTTTGTTTCTTTCTTTTTCTTTCTTTCTTTTTTTTTGAGACAGAGTTTTGCTTTGTTGCCCAGGCTAGAGTGCCGTGGCATCAGCCTAGCTCACAGCAACCTCCAACTCCTGGGCTCAAGTAATCCTTCTGCCTCAGCCTCCCGAGTAGCTGGGACTACAGGCACGTGCCACCATGCCTAGCTAATATTTTCTGTATATTTTTAGTTGTCCAGCTAATTTCTTTCTATTTTTAATAGAGACGGGGGTCTCACTCTTGCTCAGGCTGGTTTTGAAATCCTGACCTTGAGCGATCCTCCTGCCTCAGCCTCCCAGAGTGCTAGGATTACAAGCATAAGCCACTATGTCCAGCCACTATGCCCAGGAATTCAATACTAGCCTGAACAACAACTGAGACCCCATATCTACAAAAAAAAATTTTTTTAAAAGCCAGGCATGGCGGCACACCTGTATTCCCAGCTAGTCGGGAGGCTGAGGCAGGAGGATCACTTGAGCCTAGGAGTTGGAGGCTGCAGTGAGATATGATCCTGCCACTGTACTCTACCCAGGGCTACTCTCTTCCTCCTCCCTCCCCACAAAAGACAACGTATCAGCACACAGATGTGTAAAATCATGGACTCACTCAAGTTTCATTTATCTCAAACACCAACCCTTCTGGACTCTCAGCACTGTAGCCCTGTCAAGGATTTACACATAACCTTCATCATACAGAAGAATCATTTGGTTGACACTTTCTTTAAAAGTTATATTCTGCAGTGGTAGACCAACTTGTCTTAAAGAACACCCATGTTAGAATTCCGAAAGGCAATGCAAGACAGGCAGCCTTTCCACTGTGAGAAACCTGCCACACAGTACAAATGCTATTGTAGGTGCTTTGGAGAATACAAAACATTTATAAAAAGAGCTAAATCTCAATGTCATAAACTGAAAAATAACAATGACTATACCACCATTGACGCCGGGAAGCCTAAAATGAACCCCGTGTTTGGAACTCTTCATAATACACGGAAAAGTGGCTATGCCAATGCACGAAGAGCACAGGCATCGGGCACACGCATCACGCACACGCTGGCCTAGGGACCAGAGACGCCGGCCATGTCCGCAGCCACGTTAGTGCCTAGCGACACAATAAACAGCAAAAATCCTGCACGCCCAAGGACAATTTTCAGCACGCTCCACATATTTGACTAATTATATCAAGAAAATTCAGAATCCACTCAGAAGTTCAGGAGGGATGCAATTTTCCATCTCTGTGCCAGAAGTGCCTCTAACTTACTTATGAGCACGTTAGATAAAAACAACATGAAACTCCTCTCAAGGAGCTGGTGACACTCGATCGGGAAAATGAACCAGATGAACCTCACACACGTGATTAATATAAAGCAATTAGTACATTACTTTATTACATTTTAGTGCTTCCTTAAAATAAATATGGTAATAGCATGTCAAACATACATGAGAAATAAAGCACACGTGTGGAAACATGGTAACAGAAAACTCACGCAGGACTGTTCAACGCTCAGCACTGGAGGAGCGGACAGCCGCCAGCCTATCACAGGAGGGGCGGCTGTGCCTAGCACGGTATGTACAAGATCGCACGGCTGCATCCTTTCTCCAGGGACCGAGGGGACGAAGTGAGACCTACAGTCCCATGTGGTGTTTTGTACACAATTCACGCCTTTTTTGTGCATCTAAAATTAGGTAACAGGACACTTGTCTCTAACCTTCTCTTTCCATTGATCTTTAATTTTTCTGCAGTTCAAGATAGGTTCAAGTAACACTCCCAAGAGAGTATGTGCAAAACTAAGGTAAGTGGCTCCAGGATCTTCCAGCAGCTGTCAGTCACAGAGGTGTCTCAGCAGCTGTGGCCAGCACGCACGCGCTCCCTGGGAATGTCTGCTCGGGAGAAGTGTCAACCCCTGTTGGGACCAACATGGAAAGAACCGGAAGCCATTCCGCTTACTTGGAGTTCTGAAGTAACTGCAAATAACCACTTAATTGCTTTTAAATAGGCAACAAAAGTGTCAATCTAAACTGAGAGCTGCACACTCCTCTCAGAGCACGCCGCTCTCCCAGAAGCAAGGGTCAAGACATGACGAGTAGTGACGTAACAAAACCACTAAAAGAACTGTCAGTGTTAAGTGCATCATCTTTCAGGAGAAACATGCTCAGAGTGAAAAATATTCTACTTTACCAAAATCTGTCTTTATTAAAGTGAACAAATCATTAGAGCACTATCCAAAACGGAATTAGCAATGACTGTGGTTGGCTCAGCCTGCCACTTTAAATGAGGCAAACGCCACTAAGAGTACCATTCACCGTCCTCATGATCGAGTGTCAGAAAGAATCACCGCCATACTGGGAAGCATTATTCTAGCAGAAGACAGACTTTGCAGACTTCAGTGCTTTCAGTGAACTGGTATTTTCAGTAAACTCCTTCTGAGCAGCAGGGAACAAGAATTTTTTCAGAAATCTTAGACTTGGATATAAATGTTGGCAGTAGACACAATCAATAAATATCATACAACTTCTCAAATGAAAAAGATTTCCCACTATGAATTCCTTCTCTAAAGACATTCAAACACCCGACCCAAGAGCGAGTCTGTCCTGCGCCCGCAGGAGGCTGCAGCTGGCCGACACGAGGGTGCCGGGCGATGTGCAAAGGGGCAAGGGGAGAGGCGGGAAAGCAAAGTGGATTGCGTTCAACTCGTACTGACGGAGAACTTCAAGTAAGGGAGGCCGGCGGCCCAGGGGTCTCGCCCATGGGGGCCTCTCCTCAGGAGCCTCAGTGGCGAGCAGCGACCACAGCAGCAGGAACCACAGGGACACGGCGTTTATTTCTCCACTCTCACGCCGCCTGGCAGCCCTGCGTGAGCTGGGAGCTGGGAGAGCGGTTTTCTTTGTTGTCTAGAAGCCTCTTTGCAAAAGGTTTGTTGTGACTCTGCACACTTCGTACCCAAATGGATGAAAATAATAAATAAGAATCCTGTGGGCACACCCTTCAGACGCCTGGCTGTGTCCGTGTCATTTACGAGTCTGGGTCTTCTTTGGCACTGCGGGCCGCTTGGGCTGCCACAAGTGGTTGTGGATCGTGAGCGCGTCCACGCTGACGGACATGGTTTTGGCAGGGATCAAGTTAAACTGTTTTCGGTCTGAGCTGTATTTATACAGCTTGTCAATCATCTTCTTGGTGATGTTCTTTGGCCCTGTGCCAGTGAGTTTGTAGATTTCTTCAGTGTCAGGGTAGTAGCAGTAAAGCGCCCTGAACTGGCAGCCAGCGTCGCGAAACAGTATGATGTAGTGATTGGCGTCACACTTCTCCAGCTCCTGTGTGGAAGGAGTAAAGGAGACACACTTCAGAGTCACTCCAGTCCTCACAGGTCCCCAAGCTCACCCAGCACCACACCGGGAGAGGTGAACGGCCAGGTGACCCCACCCGTAAGGGCGGCTTTCTGGTATGTTAACCACAGTCCCCCTAGTTTACACGGTGGGTGCATCCACTTCATGGGACACTATAAGCCACTGAGACTGCACTCTAGATAAGCAAGCGAACATGTGTTTAAGATGAAGGGAGAAATGACATCAAAAGATGCTCCTGGTCACCCACCAGAGAAAGGCCCCTCACACCACAGTGAGATGGCCCCTCACACTGCTAGGATGGCAGTGACATCAGACAGACAGTGACAAGTGGCGGCAAGCAGGTGGAACTACTTACTGATGGTGGATATATGGTGCAGCCACTGTGAAAACCAGCTTGGTAATTCTCCACATTATTTAAAAAAAGTTACCACTGACCCAGCAATTCCTCTCTCATGTATACAGAGGAGAAATGAAAACATGCATCTACACAGAAATTGCTAGGTAACTGTTTATAGCAGCACTATCCCTAATAGTCAAAAAGTCGAAGCAAACCCATCACACGTATGTATCAATAAAAAATTTTTTTACAAACTAGAAACGACCCAAGCGTCCATCAACAGATGACTGAATAAACAATGTGGTCGATCCATACAGTGGAATATTATCTAGCCAAAAAAGAAATGATGTTCTGACAGACATCATGACACTAATTGTAACTTAAAGGCAGTATTAATATATATTGCCATGTGAAGGAAGCCAGAACCACAGATCACGTGTCTTGTGACTCCAGTTATAGGAAATGTCTGGAAGAGACAAGAGTAGCTCAGCAGCTACCAGGAAGGATGGGGAGTGAACGCTGACAGGCATGGAGTTTTTGGGGGGAAATGAAAATGTTCGGGAATCATACAGTGGTGGTGGTTGTACTCTTCTATGAATATACTAAAAAGCTCTGGATTGTATAATTTAAAGGGGTGACTTTTATGGTATGTGAACTGTATCTCAATAAAGCTGTTACCAAAAATATGGAAAAATCTGAAGCAAATACAGTAAACTGCCAACACGTGTTATGGTGTTTGTTGTAGCATGTTCTCAAGTTTGAAACATGTTTTTAAACGTCATCATCATTTTTAAAAATGGTCCTCCTCATGTAGGGAAATCTGAGCACAGTGAACGGGTTTCACTTTCCACCCCAGCAGTTCTCAAAGTGTGGCCCAAGGGTTCCCGAAACATTCTCAGGCATCTGTGAGGCCAAGGCCCTCTGCCCCGGGAAGCTCAGACGTCACCATCATCGGCAGCTCACTCTCCTCTCCTGAGCGTCCCACCTTCCAGAGGCCACATGACACGTGAGGTTGTAACAGGTGGAACACAGAAGCAGCTAAGATTCTAGCTTTCTTCTATAAAGCCAGGAACTAACAAGACTTATAAAAATGTAAAATAATGCCACTCTTCTATTTATTCTTGCTTTAGAAACTAGTTATTTTTTTCTTTTTTACAAATGTACAGTTTTAGTCAGCATTTAAGGGGTATATTAAATATTGTAAATATTTTTTAAAGGATTAAGTAGAAAAACTGGAATCCAAAACCATACACGCAATACTGATTTCAACTACACACACGCTGTGTTCACGTAATAGCAGCCGCAGAGGCCAGGCAGGGGTTATTTGCAGGGACAGTGGGTGGTGGGTAGCAGATGCCATCCTGCTGCCGTCAGTGCTGCCCATGCAGTGGAGAAGGGGCACAGCCCCCCTGGTGTCAGCGCGCACTTTAGAGCAGGCCGAAGCTGCTGTCATATGAAGGCCTGACGTCTGAGGCCCTGCTGCTGGCGGAGTCCCCAGTCACCAGCAGGTAGGAGGAGCTCCCGGCGCCTAACCGCTGGTCTCCATGCTGCTTTCCTTCCAGGGCTCTAGAACTCTGGTGCATGCAGGCAACAGGGGGCCTGTGATCAGCCCCCAATAAAAGCTCTGGGCATCTAGCTCTAAAGGGCTTTCCGGGCAGGAGCACGGCCCACGGGCTGCTGCACTGCTGTTGCTGAACTGTGTGCTCCGTGTGACCCAGGGAGGCAGAGCACACGGGGCTCTGACCCCACTGGGGTCTTCTCCCAGAGCACTGGGCCGTGGGCACTGACCACCACCGTAATAACCCGGCGTGAGTGCTCCCAGGCATCTGCGTGTGGGGAGACCCTGGGGACTGCGGCCACCAACTTGTCTGTGTGGAAATCTAGTCAGGAAAAACATGATCCTGGGTTGCTTTTGCCCTGGTCAAATGAAAGAAACGTGATGGGGAGGGGGAATATTATCAGTCCAGACAATCTGCGTTAGTGAGAAAAGGACACACCTGTTTTAAAGAGGAGGGTCACTAATTCCAGGTGCCATTTTAATTTTTTCAACTAAAAGGAAGTGATTGAGGACCAGGGGTTGGCCTTAATTATTAAAAAGTAGAATTTCTGAGGAAAGACAGATCACTGCATAATTTTCACTCATTCCTATTCAAAAGCCACTGTAGCCCAAGGGAAGCAACCTAAGACCCACCACACCTGTGCCTGGACCCTGGCGCAGGGTCGGCTCTGCTTCTCCGTTCCTAGAATTCCACTCCTGCCAGTTGGAGGAACCAGCAGGGACCTGCCCCTAAGTGTCAGGCTCCTGTCTCCAATCTCCTCCTTGGCATGTGCACCTGGATCTTGAGAGGTGTCTGAAGTCCACGTGCTCACAGAACCTGTCCTCCCACGCCGCCCCACTCCCGCTCACCTCCATCTCCCTCCCTTGTAAAATCAGAAGGCCCTGCAAGGCTCCACCCTCGACCATGCTCCCGAAGCTGGCTGCGCCCACCCAGGTCTGCCCCTCACGCACCCCTACTCCCTCCTCACTTTCCTGCGGTCAGTTCTGACCCTGTTCGGAGGACAGGTTGGTCACTGGCCCTCCTCTGCCCACACCTTGCATCTACCTGTCCTACTCAGAGTAAAGCCAAAATCCTCCCTGGGCCCAGAGGCCCTGAGTAATCTGTTTTCCCATGACCTCTGACCCCACTCCCCCCAACTGGCCGACGGGTGTTATGTCGGCACATGGGCTCACTCCTGCCTGCCTGGAACATCCTTCCCCCACATCTGCACACTTCCTCCTTCCCTCCCTGCAAGTTCCTGCTCAAATGCCACCTTGTCATTGAGACCTACTATGATCGACTCGCTGAGCTTGGCAGCAGGTCCCACATGTCCCAGCCTATGGCCCACGGGCCACATGAGCCAGCCATGCGTCATAGCATTTTCAGGGAATCAGCCGCACCCACTGGCCTGCACACTGTCTGTGGCTGTTTGCACGGTACAGAGATAGGGCGTGTGGCCCACACAGCTGTGGACACTTACTGCTTGGCCCTGCAGAAGTCACCTGCGATTCTTCCACCAGGTGACGACTCACCTCACCAATGTAACCAAACACTCAGAACAGCATGCGAACAGGGAGGCACGCCCTGAGCCTTCCTGACTCCTTCACCTACAGACCAGAAGCTTCCAACTGCCAGGGAACATCAGGCCCTGACCTTGGCCCATCTACTTCCAGCCACCGGCTGCACCTTTCCACCTCCCAGGGGCAGAAGCTGGACGTAGCTCAGCAGCAGATAGGCGCGGAGTCAGCCCCGCCCTGCTTGGGGCCTACAGCCACGCCAAGCCTGGGGCTCAGGGAGGGAAGAGTTAACAAAACAAACAAGCAGCATTTTAGCCTAGACAGGCTTCCCATTTCTCTGTGATCAGGACCCAATCCTGGAGCCCCTCCTGCCACCTGAGCACAGTGCTGCGTCAGCCTCCTGCATCTCCAATCACCCGGTTCCAGCTACCAAACTAGTTCTACTATGTTTCTCCACTTAAAAAAAATTTTAACCCAAATTTCTCCTTCCCCACCTCTCCCCCTCACGCCCCCATTTAGTGTCACCCACCTGGGTGACACAGACCAGTCTTCTCACCCAGCCTGGAAGGCTGCTCCGCCCCCGGCTCTGCCCCGAGTGGACTGTGCGCTGGAGTGTCTGCCCGGCTAGTCTAGGTCCCGCTTCCCTGGTGCAATCCTGCTCGAGGCCGTCCCAATTCCTAAAGCCGCAGCTCAGGAGATGGGCACTCAGGCCCTTGGAATCACTCAGGGGAAGAGCCCTCAGCCTTACAGCAGAATCACTCAGCAGAAATTATGAGCAAACCATTGAGAATGTTTTCTATTAAAAAGAACTCTTGATTTAGAAACACCTTTTATTCTCCACAAAATTTAGTGGTAAAATCTGATACTTGCCTCTAATATTGAATTCTTGTGCGGTTCATTCACTTTTCCAGCCAGACAGCAATGGGATATCGCATTGTGAATGATAGGTTTGTTTGATTTGCTACTGGGTTCCTTAAAGAGCTTGGGACCTAAGAAATCAGGCCAAGATTTGCAAAATTAGCATTTTAAGGCACGAACACACACACACACAAAAACCCCAACAATTTTTTAGCAGTGAGCAATGGGTAGGCTAAATTACGGACATTTGTGATTTTTTGAAAATGGGAAGAGCCACTTCAAATTTATTTAAAGAATTCCAAGTTTAAAATTTTACAAAAACTATGCTGGGCATAGTGGCGTGCGCCTGTAAGTCCCAGCTACTCGGGAGGCTGAGGAAGGAGGATCACTTGAGCCCAGGAGTTGGAGGCTGCAGTGAGCTATTATGATGTCACGGCACTCTACCTGGGCGACAGAGAGAGAGCACGTCTCCAGAAAGAAAGGAAGGAAGAAAGGAAAGGGATTAAAAGAAGGGAAGGGAAAGGAAGGGAGGGAAAAGAAAAAAGAAAGAAAAGAAAAAGAACAGGGAGGAGAGGAAGAAGGAAAAGAGAAGAAAAAAGAAAGAAAAATATTTTTTACAAAGACTAAAGTAATAATGTATCCCCTTTCTAACTTTACCATAGAAAGTGTGTTTCTTTACCACAGAAACACAAAACCAGGAACTGACTTTAATAGTCTTCCGGTTCAAAGTGCCCAGGACACGTGCAGCACGCTGGCCCTGTGGGTGGGGGGGGGTGACAGGCCCATGCCTCCCACACCCCTGCCTCAAGGCAGACAGCAGGAGGGCCTGAAAGCTTCTACGAGGACAATGCACCTGTTCCAAACACCAAATAGCCAAACACAGCTCTCTGACACTAAATAAAACACTGTATCAGAAAAATATCTTTAAGACTAAAATAAAAAACAGACATTTTAAAGAGTGCTCCGCGAAGGCGTGTGGACATGAGCACAGTGCCTCTGAGGAGGGCATGGGCCGTCACCTGTGTACTCTGCCACCGAGGCCAGGGAGGAGGCTGCGGAGGCGGTCTCCCAGTCTCGGTCCGTGCTCCTGCTGGCGTTGCGGCTCAGTATGGGCAAGGCCTCCATCGACTCAACTCTGCAGACAGAAAGGACAAAGGATGGAAGGTGTAGCCACGCGCCACCCTCCCTCTCACCTGCAGCCAGCAGGGGCTGCAGCTGTTTCTGTCACCTGACAGCAGACCAGCCGGCAACCAGGGCGGGAAGCTCACCGGCATGGGGGGGAGCCTTCAGTAGGGGGCTCATGTGGGCACCAACCCCAGGCGGCACTGAGAAACAAACACTTGAGACACTACAGAGTGAGGAGGGGAGTTGGCCCTTCACCAAGGAAGTTCATCTTCAAGCGGCCTTTCCCCGGGCACCGCCCTGCTGGAGCAGGGTGCAGGCACGGCACCCAGCCCTGATGCTGCTGGCTCGGGAAGCCAGAGGGTGAAGTCTGGCTACTGTGCTGACACCAAGCAAGGGCTGGGACCCAGGGGAGGAAGGGCCTGGCGGGCGTCTGAAAACCAGGCATCGGGGACCCCAATCCCTGGAGGCCTGAGCTGAACCCTGCAGGGAAGTCTCCACTGAGCACAGCAGATGCCAGTGCCAGGAGGAACACAACTGCCCAGAGACGCCAGTCGCAGCACCGGGGGCTGAATCCAGCCAGAGTCACTGACCGCCAGAGCCAAACTCCAAACTGAACCCTGAGGCCCTCTAAGGGACCCTCCACAAACCCAGGAGACAAGGAGAAGCCACAAGACATGGGGAGAGGCAGGAAAACACAGCCACGGTTGCCAGAGCTGTAGTCACGTAGACTTTGTTTGCTGTTGGCAAACAAAGGGTGCCAACAGCACTTGTGAGCAAGCAGGGGCTCAGTAAAAGCCACTTGAGCCCCTGGGGGGCTGCCCAGCGAGGTCCGAGGTCCACGAGGGCCCCTGGCACGCTCTCAAAAATGACTCTCTGACCATATGACCAGCGTGGGACCCCAACATGCTGCCCTGAGAGAAACGCACTTTCGCCCTGGGCTGCACCCACCAGGACTGTCACCCTCATCCAGTCCAATCACGTGGAGGCCGTCTACACAGTGGCCCGTGTGCACCACAAACACAAGGCTGAGAGGGACAGAGACAGGCTACGGACTGCCTGGGATCAGAGGACATGGCAGACACTTGGCGTGCCAGCACAATGCCGGCCGCCAGCCGACCCTGGACCCGGAGCAACACAGTTATCAGGGACACGGTGGGGCAGCTGACAACAACTAGACATGGACTTCAGATCAGATCTAAGTGCTGGTCTGACGCCTGTGGTCATGCAACAGGACGTCCTTGTTCTAGGAAATACGCGCTGAAGTGCTTGAGCTTAAAGGGCGGGGCGCTGCCCACATGCTGCGAGTGAGCGCAGACGCATCTGCACACCAGGGGAGCAAGGGGGGGGGGCGACAAAGCAAACGCCACCAGTTTAACCCTCTGGCAGGCCTGGGCGGAGGGCACTTAGGAGTTCCTTGTGAAATTACTGCAGCCATTCTGTAAACGTGCAATTACACAGAAAGTAAAGTTACAAACAAACGCATCTCTCAAGAGGTTTTAAAAAACTCTCATCAAGTTCCACTCTCTTCTCCCAAACGTCCCCAGCCCCGTGCCCGGCAGCCGTCCCGGGCCTGCTTACCGCTGGGAAGGTGTGCCCCCTGAGTGAACGCTCTCCGGCTCCGTCGTCGCCGCGGAGGCCAAGGACAGGCTGGACCCAGAATGAGTCCGGCTCAGGTTATCAGCTGCCAGAGACGGAAACAGACGTCAGTGCAATGAGGCGCTTCCATCGGGCGCCCATCAGCTCCCCTAACCTGGAGCACACAGAGCCTCCCGCTGACCCGGTGACAGCAGCAGGGAGCAGAACCTGGCCTCTATGGCATCCTGAGTCCTGCCGCCTCAGCCCCCAGCCCTGCCTAGCGGGAACTGCTCTGCATCTGGATGCCTCTCACCATCTCAGACCATCAGCCCTGGCCTCAATTTTCTCATCTGTAAAATGGGGATAATCTTCTCCACCCCTCGCACCTCACAGTTCTTGAGAAAATCAAAACGAGATAACGAACGCGAGAGCTCTACAGGGTGTGCGTGAGGCACAAGAGTCACAAGCGCATGACTGAGCCGCTTACGCGTCGAGGAGCACTTGGTTCCCGAGTCACTACACGACTCTTCCCGATGGACTGACTTTGGCCGTGGCTTTTTCGCCTTTGATTTAGGTTTGCCAAGTCCCTGTTCTTCTAAGATCTGCTGCTGCTTCCTTCGCAAGTACTCCTGTTTGATGAGCTCTCGCCGCGCCTTCTCCTCCTCTTTCCGTATCCGATCTTCCTCGGCTTTGCGCCTGGGGGGACAGTACGTGCATAATGATCCTGAGTTACAAGGATTCTCCTGCAGAACAAATCTCCCGACCTGCGACCTCCCACAGCACTTGGCGTGTCCAGGCACCGGTTCTCTCCCCCCGGCCCCTGGGCCTCAGGGTGGGCCGGCTTGCCTAGGGCGGGACACAGTGGCCACAGGCAGCCCTGGAGCTGACCAACCCTCGCCTCCCTGGAGGGCAGCATGGCTGTGCTGTCACGAGAGTTAAAGATCATCCCAGGAAGGGCCTGAACCAGAGTTTGGCACGGGAGACCCACCCAGACGCCTGCGACTATGGACAGCACCTGACGACGGAGTGGAGTGATGACACCGGGGGACGCTCCCTGCTAACCACACTGGGCTGGCCTCCAAGCCTGCCAAGGCCCTGCTCAGTCCACGCGGCGCCCACCCCTCCTGGACAGGGCAGGCAGCTTACCGGGCCTCATCTCGCTTGAGCTCAACTTCCGCTTCCAGCTGCTGCTTCCGCACACGAGCCTCTTCGGCCTTGCGCTGCTGTTTGAGGAGGAAGGCTGCCCGCTTCTTGGCGAGTTCATCTTCTGCTTTCTGTTCATCCTACAAAGCAGACATCACGTGCAACGTGATAGGAAACACCCTTACAAAGTCCAACACAGCCTTATTTCAACCCTGTACCAGACTTTAACAGACACTTAGAAAAGCTTGCTGTGTATAGTCCAAAGATTTTTCACTCTTTTTTTCAACTGACGAGTAAGTATATTTTCATAGACTCTAAAATATGAATGGAAAAGAAATAATGGCATTTAAAACGCATTAGAGGCCAGGCGCCGTGGCTCATGCCTATAATCCCAGCACTCGGGGAGGCCGAGGCAGGAGGATCGCTCGAGGTTAGGAGTTCGAGACCAGCCTGAGCAAGAGCGAGACCCTGTCTCTACTAAAAAAGAACAGAAAGAAATTAATTGGGAAACTAAAAATATATAGAAAAAAATCAGCTAGGTATGGTGGCGCGTGCCTATAGTCCCAGCGACTTGGGAGGCTGAGGAAGAAGGATCACCTGAGCCCAGGAGTTTGAGGTTGCTGTGAGCTAGGCTGACACCATGGCACTCTAGGCTGGGCAACAGAGTGAGGCTCTGTCTCAAAACACAACACAACACACATTCGAAGTCAACCAACTCTCCAGATGCCTCATAATGACTCCAGTTTGCCTTAAAAACTACATATGTATCTCCAAAATATGAGCTAATACACAAGTTGATTATTAACTTGTTTACATTTTAGAAGTACAAATACCAAATAAACCATCTTTTGAGGAGATAAACCTGACGGTCTTGCCTTACGCCATCCATGTTCTAACTGCCTGAAGCAAGAGCCTGTGGCCACGCGTGGCTCGACAGCGGGAGGCGGCGGGCTGCCATGCAAGCGTCACGGGTGCACACCACACGTGCCTGTGCTGGACACCTCAGGCAGCCGCAACACAATGGGGCGGGTTTGTGCACCTAAACATGCAAAACGTGCAGTAAAAACATGATGTGGTGATCTCATGGGACCACTGTCAGTGACCAGGTGTCACTGTGAGGCGCCCAGCTGGCTGTACGTACTATTAAAACAGAAAATAAGTTCTCACAATTTATGTTTCTCTCCATCTCAAAGAAAAAAATTGCATGAAAGGCATAGATACAGAGCGAAAAAAGAAAAACATTGTTGTTAAAGCTCCTGTGTGTCTCCAGGGTCTTTGTATCAGGGGTTGGCAAACTTCAGCCCAAAGGCCAAGTCCAGCCCGCCACCAGTTTCTGCAGAGCCTTCCCGCTATACATTTTTTTCACATTTCTAAATGCTTGAAAAATATCCTGAGATACACAAAAATTACATGGACTTCCATTCCAGGGTCCACAGGGAAGTTCCACCAACACAGCCACGCCCACCGCCTACACACCAACCCCAGGACAGACTCCCATGGCGGCAAGGCCACGTCCCTCCCCTGCCTGGCCCCTGTGCTCACCCAAGCGCTTGTCTCCCTCTCACAGCTAAGGAGAAGTGGCCACACCTCACGAATGCTGGAAGCAAACGCTTCCTATCTGTTTACCTTGAAGAAGAAGCCAACCCCTGGCTTCAGGTCACCTTCCCCGACGAGGTCTGCCGAGACGTCGACACTCACGGCCTCCCCGTCCTCATCCGGGGCTTTCAGGCCCGAGAGGTCGACTTCGATGAGGCTTGCCTTGCTGCGCAGGGGCTCCCCCACGAGGACGCTCTCTCCTCCCGCAGCGTCTGGCCCTGCCTCCACACTGGCGTCCAGAGCCTCTCTGAGGCCTGTCTGCTCCGCCGTGGTGTTTGTGTCTCTGCAAGGGGACAGGACCAGCGTCCGCTGGTTGCTTTCATCATGCAGCCTGTAACTGTCAAAGAGACACTTCCCATGCGCATCACCGCCAGGCTCTGCAGCAGCTTCCGAGCCGGGGTCAGAGGGCGTCCGAGGGCGGTTACTTGGGGGGAAGGGTCTCAAATGTGGGAGCGTCTCTACGCTGGGTGTTGGGGTCTTGCTCCGGGAGGAGCCCTGCTGCCTGTCCTTCGGGACCTTCAGCTCGGCCGGCCTTCCGGAGCGGGAATTCCGACCCTGACCCAGACGAGGGGGCTTGCGGTGGCCTGTCACTGCAGTCGGCGAGAGCGGCTCCACAAAGTGGAGCGATGCCTTTGCTTTCTGGTCCTGTGAGTTATTTTTAGAACCTGGAGTTGGTATTGTAGGAGATTTCATAAGAAGCTGCTCTTGCTGCTGGGAAATCTTCAGTATAGCCTGCTGGAGTGTGCTGATGGTCTCGTTCAGTTTCTCAATGGACAGGTCACACTCGTTCACATCCACAACCTCACCTGCGCTGTCTTCCAGGAGAGCCGCAGAAATGACCTTGTTTTTCTCGATGTCGTGCAGCATGGCAGGGTCTTTCGGCTTATGCTGCTGAGCGAAGGCCAGGCTTTCTCTGTCCACATCTTGGGCCTCACTGAGGAGATCTTCTCTCTGCTCCTTCATGAGAAACTCTTCAGTTTTAGAAACACCATCGCCAAAGTCCTCCCCGTTGTGCTGGGAATATTCTTTTGTGAAGTGTTCCGGCTGAAGTGGCTGGGACAGGACGTCGGCCTTCCCCTTCCGCACCACGTGCAAGAACGCGGCCTTGCCCAGCTTTAGGCGCTGCCGCGCGGACAGCGCCTCCATCTTCTTCTTCTGGGCCTCAATGGCCCTGCGCTTCTCCTCCAGCTGCATGTGGAGCTGCACCAGCTCCGACGCCAGGAGGCTGGCGGGGTCTTTGCTGTGCCTGCCAGGGCTCTGCTCCCTCTTCTGTCTCCACGTCGTCAGAGGGGCCGGGCAGCTTTCCGATGCGTCTGGCGTGGTCTTCTGGGAGCTGCTGGTGCTGGACTTGGTCTCGCAGCTGTTGAGTCTCTGGAGCTTTCTCTCCGCGAAGCTGGTCATCTTCACACTTCCGCTCGCCATGGAGACGCTGCTCATCTGAGAGGTTGTGCTCAGACACGGGCTCGAGCGGCCACTGGCATCATCCTTGTCTTCGTGCTCTTTCACCTTCATATCCTCCTGCAGCTTGGCCGACTCTTCTTCACCAACATATTTGGTGATGATCACAGGATGGTCCTCGCCAATAAAATCGTGCTCAGCTTCTTCTATATCTACGACGTCAGAGTCAGAGTCCTGCCTCAGAATAGCCCACGGCTCTGAATCGTGAGAGCTAGGGCTTTTTGCACAGCTGATGTATAACCTTCCCTCTGCGTCTTCCTCGGCCCGGCTGACGTGCAGGAAGAAGCCGTCAGCAGCCTGTCCCTGAGGTAGCAGATCAAACCCACCCATCGGCAGAGGCCCGCCACGCGCTTCTCCTGCAGCTTCTGCTGACTGTGGTCCTGTCTCTGCAGGGTCACTGGTTGTGGGAAATTCTGAAGAGGGGATTGGGGTAAAAGTCCTATTCAAGTCACGACTGCTGGTTGCTTTCTTTCGTACCAGAGGCTGGTGGCTCTCATTGGCCCTCCTGGACGTGAGGCTCCTTGGTCTCCCTTCCCCACGTTCATCCTCCTTGGTGATGATCTGCTTCTCTTTTGCTGGCTTAAGCACCGCGGGCATCAAGGGCTCCAAGAAAAAACTGTCAGGCTTACTCTCCCCGGGGTCTGCCTGCCCCTGGGGAGACCTGGCACTCAATGTCAGGCCTGAGGCCCGAGGTGAGGTCCTGGGGACCTCCAGGTCACCCCGGTGGGGAGCCACGTCTGTTCTAATGATGGCCACAAGTTCTTCCTCCTCATCCTCAATATTGACGTTGTTCAGGAGGCTCTTCCCATTGGCCTTGATGGCTGTGGGGTGCGGCTGGTTCTGTGGAGTCAGATTAACTATGTTGGATGCCAAACTGTCTTTGCTGATGGAGCGGGCCAAGCTGATGCTGTCGCCAGAGCCAGGATCCACATCGCAACTCGCAGCATGATGGAGAGCAAAGGGTGTCGGCTGGGACACAGGCCTAGAACACGGGAAAAAAACCCATTGGATGCTACCACGCACACACGAGAGCCCGACTCAGCACTGACCGCATGAGGGGAACACTGGCTATGCAAAGAGAATGCAAATCTCACACGCAGAAGACTGAAAACCACCTCACCTCCTCCCCGGGGAAAAGGGGAGATAATAACCAGAGATAATTTTAATTGAGTGATTTTCAAACACTGTAGTCCCAGAACCCCTTTAATACCCTTAAAAATTACTGAGGACCCCAAAGGGCTTTTGCCTGTTGTATTCATCAGTATTAACCTCTATTTGTCACACTAGAAATTAAAGCTCAGGCATTTTTAAATACTGATTATAAATTACAGTAATAAGCCCATTACATGAAAAAAGACTATATTCTCTAAAACAGAAAGTCTACAACGTAGAGAGTGGCATTATTTTACAACTCTCTAGTATCTGACTGGACCCTCCTATCTGATTCTATCTGCTATGATACCACATCACGTAGCCTCTGAAAAATTCCATGGTACACTCATGAAGAGCGCAACAATGGAAAAAAGCAGTTAACATCCTAGCATTGTTATAAAAATAATTTTGACCTTGTGAACGCCCTAAAAGGGTCTCAGTGGTCCTTAGGGATCCCTGGACTTCATCTTAAGAACTGCTGTTTAGACTAATGAACACCCAAATAGAAACGTCTTTGAAACGTGGAGAGTCACCTGTTTTTTTTTTCTGGCCACGCCACTGCTGCACCTCGAGGCTGACCATCGACTCGGGTTAGAGAATTAGAGCGATGTCGCTGATCTGTAGGTGAAGGAAATAGTAAATGTATTAATTCAGTGTTAAGTAACCAATTTTACGCCATCTGAAATTCTTTCGGTATAACCACCATTTCTCTAGGAAAGGAATTATGATTCGATATACCAAAAGTACTCCAAGGAAAGCAGATAATCAAAACAACATACCTTTTAATAGTTTCCGTAAGTAATGTGTGATTCAACAGTGATCAGTCCAAAACATGATAATAAACTAACCATAACTATAAATGAACTTCAATATATATAAGTTCTTGGCTTATGTAAATAGCAATTTTGTGCATAGTACATATAATTTGTTGGCTTTTAATGATATTGTCACTATAAACCTATATATTCTAAGGGACATCAATACAAATTAAAATTTATTTTGCTATAGTTTTTTAAAATAAATTACTACATCAAAATAAGATTAATTTTGAGAAGTATTATTTTACTGGCCAGTAAGAAGAAATTGAGGGCGAGGGACGATAAAGAGGAAACAGCCTTCTTACCAGGGGTGTCCTCACCCTGCACCGTCTTTTGCTGTCTCTGTCTCAGCGGCAACAAGGGGTGGGGTGGGCTGAAGGCAGCGGCAGTGCCTTTCCCACTACATGGAAAAGAATTCGAGAGAAAATCGCCGGCTTATCAAGCTGCAAGTCCAAAAGCAAATGCAAAAGAAACTACAGAGACCATCACAAATTCACACCACACTCTGAGAAACTCACAGATTCTTTGGGGAAAATTACTATAAAAACAAACCAAAGGAGTACCAAGAATGTCAAACTTGGGATGAATATCCCAAAACTGCAAACAGAGGACATACTGACTCCTGGATATAATCTGTAATAAATACAACCAGTTTCAAATTTTAACAGCAAAATTCAAGTATGCAATTAAGGTTATCTTTTGAGATAAGCAAAAATAAAAATAGAAAAAGTGATCATTCAAAAAGTATGATTTTCAAAAATGCATGTTACTGGTTCAATTTAAAAAAGAGAACTTCTGAGATAAAATAGGCCATGGTGATGACCCTACTGTGTTGACTGCAGCTCTGAAAATACTGAAGAGTAACTTGAATGTGAGCCCTTCACAGAGAAGCAGGAATGTCCCACAGCGCTGGTGGGAGTGTAAAAGCGTGCAGTTTTAGAGGACAGTAAGGCAACATCCACGAAAGGCTCTAAAGCATTCACACCTTTTCTACTTCTTAGATTACAGTTTAAGAAAGGTCACAGGCACACACTGAGCTGCGGATGTGAGGACAGTCACTCCTGGTGAGGAATGGTGTGTGTGGAAAAGGTGCCATGAGGGCACAGCCCAGCACAGTTTCAGCAAAGTGACATGTGTGGAACCAGCACCCAGCGGCCCCTGCCACCTGCTGGGACCAGCTCCCCAGAAGCACACACACTCGCCACAGGGAGACTACTGTGGTTGTTTTACCTTGGGGAGAATCTGGCAAAGGGATAATCCACAAAGGTGGAATCCCAGGGGACGGCTTCCCACCCTGGGCTGTTGCTGCCTCACCTAGGCCTAAAGTTTGGCGGGGGCAAGGAGTGGGTGCTGCAAGGAGAGAGGGTCAAGGACACAGAAAGCCCAGAGGAAGCAAGTAGTCACCACTTGGGGCTCCACGAGCAGACAAGCAGCATGAACCCTGCAACCCAGACACTGGTGGACACAGCTGACCCCGTGACGACACCCCATCTGTGGAAGACTGCACAGCTGCTCAAATTGCAGAAGGTACTCATTGAATGGGAACATTGCCGCCACATACTGTCAGGTAGAAACAGCAGGTCACAGCAGTATGGGCATATTACACTCATTCTGTTTAAAGATCAGCTTCCTGTGCACACATATGCACTGCACATGCTGGACTCAACAATGGAGAGCAAAGACTGGAGAGAGGATGCTGAGCACCACACCGCCCTGAACGTGAGCACACAGCTCTGGCCTATAGAAGCCAAAGCCCTCCACCTCTGCTCCGGGTCTGGGGACGCCCCATCTCAAAGACCCCACATACAGAACACGTCTAAACCCCTACCTCAGCGACACCCTACACCTGGGTCTGCGCTCCCTCTCAAAATCCCAGCCCTTCAGGAAACAGCACTGCCTGTGCCACTTCTCCACACCCAGATCTAGGACTTCTCAACCACCCTTTCCCCCGACTCCGGCAGCCCCACGGCTGAGCCTTCAGCACTCTGCCAGTCTGACTTCCCAGCAGACACCCAGAGCAACCGAGCTTGTTTTATAACATGTTGTGTCAATAAACTAGTCATTTAAAATCACTTATGAATACCCATTCTAATCTTAAATCCCAATCCAATTGCCACATTTTAAAAATGTTCTTCCATTTTAAAAATATCTTCTGCCCATGCAGGTTGGGAATGTTAACTGGCTCCAGGCTGGAACAAGCCCCCAGCCTCCTGCTACACAAGCACGAAACAAAGCTCACACCTATTCCAAGTACAGGTTCCTTCATCCTCTCCCTAAATGCTGAGAGCAGTCAATCCACCCCAGATACAGTTATCCAAATTAGGTCTTGATGATGAAGACTCGTTTTCAAAAAACACTTTTTAAGCAATTCTATTTTTACACCAGTCTTTGAAAAATTCTATTAATATACGCTTTTTTTTTTTTTTACCAGAACCAAAATGTTCCCTGAAGTTAATGAAGTAAACTGATATTCTTCATTGGCCATCACTGTGAGCAAGAAGTCACATTACCTGAAACGCAAGAGCATTTCACTCTTTATATGCTCCTACACTATAAAAAGCAAATTTCAACTATCAGTTCAACATTTCTAATCTTTAGATGACTTTTTAGAAAGTGCAATACACGGTGGGAAGGAGGACAGAGAAATACCTTTTCTATAAACAATGTTAGGATTCGATGCATGGCCTTTAAAGGATTTCCAGCTAGTGGATGTAAGAGGCCAGGATCATTCCTGGCCTTTTGGGGAGGGGACTGAGTGGCCAGGGCAGGAGGACAACCTTTCACAAGCTAGTCTTTTGTACTTTTTGTATTACCCGTTAAAAAAAAGATAACGTCAGTTAAGATGTTAGACTAACACAAAAAGGGACATGGTGGTAAACTGATTCTGAAAGTGGAAAGACAGACTTACAGGTACTCCGGCTCTTCCGGGTGCAGGGAGTATCTGTGACAGCCTTCCGCCTGCTGCGCGGGGGGCTGCAGGTCGGCTGGGCTCCCCGCAGCAGGGCTGCCTAGGAAGCTGCGTTTGGTCGCATTGGAGATAGGTACAGGAGGCCGGCTGCTTTTTTGATGTAACACTGTTTTAGCTACAGAAATAGCAATTTTACAAAAATGTTATTTACAGTTACTTACAACAACACTAGCAAGAAGCATAGAAAAAGCCTTGCAGGTTTCATAACCATTGAAGTAATTCAACTTTTATTTGAAACCAAGCTTCTCCAAAAAACCTGGTTTCAAGTGTAACAAATGTATTCTGTAATAACAAGTAGTATAAATATTATGCCATAATAAATACCAAAATTAAAAGGCACAACACAGGTAGGAGGAAGACAGAAAACGTGAACCAACTGATGGGTTCTGTCTCCGTCACCAGCACCTACCCTGAAGCTCCCCACCACTCTAAACCCACACGTCACCCACCACCAAGCCTGGTGCTGGACGAGTGGCCGCACTGTCCAGCCCCCTCAAAGAAAGCCCACGGCCTCAGCAGGGTCAGAAGGGTCCTCGTCTGGGACTAGCATGGAGGTGGGGCTGCTCTGTCAGGTCACTACAGGCCCTGAACCTGTGGGGTCGGGGGGTGCTTGGTGGCTTGCGCTCCACTCCCCTGTGGCCCACGCCTACTGGTCCACCTCCCTCAGGCTCAGACCTGAGCACTGACTGTCTCCAAAACTGCTTCCCAGGCAACTGACCTGGGGCAGGTAGTGCCAGGAACAGCTGAAGAAAGCAAGAGATGGGGCCCTGGGGCCAGGTCCTCCCTCTCCAGCCAGGAACAAGGACCCACTGGTAGGGAATGTCCTACCTGATGTATTGCAAACACAGAGGAAACAAGTGTAAGGACAACGGGATGGAGAGCTGCAGTGAGCTTTGCTAAAGCTCTAGGAAAGAGATAAGGAAAGGCTGAGAGAGAGCAATAGGTGACCAAACACCAGGAACAAAAGCCAAGGTACCAAGCTGAGCTCTCCTGCAGTGGGGCGGGGAGGGGCCAAGAATGAATGGCTCCCAGGGAGGCTGCTATTCCAAGGTCAGGCCTTGGATGGAAAGAATGAGACTGTGACATATGGGATGTGGACTTCTAGGCCTTGAAAACCTCAAATTCCCAGATTCCCTGGAACTCTGAAACTACAGAAGAGGGCGCCCCTCCCTATTAAAAGCCAGCACCCCCGTTGGCCCCATGCTTGGGGATGACACTGAGGCTTCTCTCTAGATGACAGGTGTCTCCACCCCCACACGATGCAGTATAATCAAGTTGTCAAAAGTTAAAGACAAAGAATTTTGAAACCAGCAAGAGCAAAGCAACTCGTCACATACATGGGAACCCCCGTTAGACTACCAGTAGATTTCTTAGCAGAAACCAGCAGGCCAAAAGGGAACGGAATAATATAGTCAAAGTGCTGAGAGGGGGGAAAAAAAACAATCAAGAATACTACACCCAGCAAAGCTATACTTCAGAAATGAAAGGAAAATCAAGACTTAGCCAGACAAAAGCTGTGGGAGTTTACCACCACCAGACCTGCCTTACAGGAAATACTAAAGGGAATTCTTCAGGATGAAATGAGAAACACTAAACAGCAAACAAATAAGGAAACTCACTGATTAAAGTAACATATAAACAAAACCCAAAAACGGTATTACTATAACAGCAGTGGATAAATTGCTTTTAATTATAAAAGTTAAAAAATAAAAGTATCCTCTTTCCCATCTTGCAAGATGGCGGGTGAAAAAGTTGAGAAGAAGCCGGATACTAAAGAGAAGAAACCTGAAGCCAAGAAACCTGAAGCCAAGAAGGCTGATGCCAAGAAGGCTGATGCCGGTGGTAAAGTGAAAAAGGCTAACCTCAAGGCTAAAAAGGTTAAGAAGGGGAAGCCACACTGCAGCCGAAATCCCGTTCTCGTCAGAGGAATCGGCCGATATTCCCGATCTGCCATGTACTCTAGGAAGGCCATGTACAAGAGGAAATACTCAGTGGCTAAATCCAAGGTTGAAAAGAAAAAGAAGGAGAAGGTCCTCGCCACTGTTACAAAACCAGTTGGTGGTGACAAGAATGGTGGCACTCGGGTGGTTAAACTTCGCAAAATGCCTAGGTACTATCCAACAGAAGATGTTCCTCGAAAGCTGTTGAGCCACGGCAAAAAACCGTTTAGCCAACACGTGAGAAGACTGCGAGCTAGCATCACTCCCGGGACCATCCTCATCATCCTCACCGGACGCCACAGGGGCAAGAGGGTGGTTTTCCTGAAGCAACTCGGCAGTGGCTTGTTACTTGTGACTGGACCTCTGACCCTTAATCGAGTTCCTCTGCGAAGGACACACCAGAAATTTGTCATCGCCACCACCACAAAAATTGATATCAGCAATGTGAAAATTCCTAAGCATCTCACCGATGCTTACTTCAAGAAGAAGAAGCTGCGGAAGCCCAGACACCAGGAGGGTGAGATCTTCGACACAGAAAAGGAGAAATACGAGATTACAGAACAGCGCAAAGTGGATCAGAAAGCTGTGGACTCCCAAATTTTACCAAAAATCAAGGCAATTCCTCAGCTCCAGGGCTATCTACAATCTCTGTTTGCCCTGACAAATGGAATTTATCCTCACAGATTGGTATTCTAAATTTTTACAAAGAACCTAATTAAATAACTGAAAGATAAAAAAAAAATAAATAAATAAAAGTATCTAAAATAAACCTAAATTGCGTTAATGATTACATAATATAAATAGTTATGGTGACATCAATAATACACAACGTGGAAGGGAAAAGCTGAGAGTTCTTATACAAAAGTGAAGGTGAGTTTTTGTAAGCTTAAAACAGATGGTCACAAGAGATCTTAGTAAGCTCTGGGTAACCACAAAGAAAAATACCTAAAAAAGTTACACAAAGAAAAAGAGAAAGGAAACAAAGATTATCAGCACAAAACTTAAAAAAAAAAAAAAAATGAAGATAGCAGGAAAGAAAGAGGAACAAAAAGAATTACAAGACATGCTGTTTTACTTCATCAGTTAAAAAAAAAACAGAAAACAATTAACAAAATGGTAACAGTAAATCTTTCCCTATCAATAAATATAATACTTTAAATATAAATGCATCAAACTCACCAATTAAAAAATACAGTGGCTGAATGTATCAAAAAAACCAGATCTAACAATACACTGCCTACAAGAAACTCACTTCAGCCTAAAGGACACACAAAGGCTGAATGTGAAGGAATGAGGAAAGATACTGTAGGCAAAAGGCAACCACAAGAAAGCAGGAGTGACTGTACTTAGAAAAAATAGATTTTAAGTCAAAAACTGTCTCTACAGACAAAAAAGGTCTTTACGTAATGATAAACGGGTCAATTTGACAGGAAGATATGACAATTATAAATGTATATGTACCCAACATGAGACCGAAGTATATATAACAATTGACAGATCTGAAAGGAGAAATAGACAGAAATATAACAGCAGTAGGAGACTTCAGTTACCCCACTTTCAACAATGGGTAGAACATCCAGACAGAAAGTCTATACAGACAGCAGACTTGAAACCAAACGCACTGAACACACACACAGACCTTCCACCCAACAGCAGTGGCACACGCCGCCTTCTTCTCAAGCACACACAGCCCATTCTCCAGGATAGAGTCTACGTTAGGCTACAAGTCTTTAAAAATTTAAGATCAAAATCATATGAAGTATCTTTTCCAAACACAATGGAATGAAACTAGAAATCACTAACTTCGAGAAAACAGAAAAATTCACAAATACGTGGAAACTAAACTACACACTCCTAAACTATGTGTCGAATAGAAAATCAAAAGGAAATATTTTAAATATCTCAAGACAAATGAAAATGAAAACACAGCACACCAAAACTTATGTGATGCAGCTAAAGTAGCACTAACAAGGATGTCTGTAGCGATGAACACCTATACTAACAAAGAAAAAAGGACTCGAAACAACCACCTAACTCTCCACGTCAAGGAGCTAGGAAAGGAAGAACAAACTAAGCTCAAAGCAGAAGGAAAGAATTAATAAAGATTAGAGTAGAAATAGATCAAATAGCGAATAGAAAAATAGAAAACAAATCAACAAAACTAAGAGTTAGTTTTATGAAGAAATAAAAATCACAACCGCCTTAGCTAGACCAAAAGAGAGAGAAGACTCAAATAAGTAAAACCAGAAATGAAAGAGGAGACATTATAACAGACATCCCAGAAATAAAAGGGTCACAAGGGACCATTGAGAACACTTAAGATGCCAGACTGAATAACCAAGTTGTGGACAAATTCCCAGAAACAGGAAACCTACCAAGCCTGACTGGAGAAGAAACAGAGAGCCTGAGCAGACCAACAGCAAATAAAGAGACGGAAGCAGGAATCAGAGACCTCAACACACAGCAACGCCCAGGACCAGGTGGCTCCATGGGTGAATTCTACCAAACATTTAAAGAACTGATGACAATCCTTCTTCCAAAAAGTAGACGAAGAGGGGACAGTTCTAAAAACATTTTATGAGGCCAGCATCACCCTGAGACCAAAGCCAGACAAAGACACCACAAGAAAAGAAAACCACAGGCCATTATCTCTGATGAACACAGATGCAAAAATCCTCAATAAAATAATAGCAAACCAAATTCAACAGCACCTCCAAAAGATTACAGACTACGACCAGGACCGTGTGGGATTCACCCCTGGGATGCAAGGCTGGTTCAACACATGCAAATCAGTATGAAACACCACATTAACAGAGTAAAAGGTAAAAACCACATGACCACAGTAGCATGCAGAGAAGGCATTTAACAAAGACAACATTCATTCATAAGAAAAGAAAAAAAATGGACACAAAGTAAGTATACAAGGAATTTACTTCGAAACAATAATGGCCATTTATGAAAAGCCCACAGTGAATATTTTAATCAATGGGAAAAAACTGAAAGCTTTTCCTCTAAGGTCTGGAACAAGATAAGGCTGCTCACTCTACCATCTTTTATTCAACATAGTACTGGAAGTTCCAGTCAAAGCAATTAGGCAAGAAAAAAATTTAGAAGGCATCCACAACACTGGAAAGAAGAAATAAAAATGTCTCTGTTTATGTAAGATGAAATTATA